GCGAACAGCGCATGTTGTCCCTGAGCTCCGTAACGACATCTCTCACAAAGATTTGCGTCTTTAAATAGTAAAATAATTCTCAGAAAAACAGCTAGCCTCTTCGCTAACTAACACACAAAACACCATTGGAATGCTACTTCCGCCGCCTCACCGGAAGTTTCACCCACTTTATTTTTTACAGGAGCGCCCCTCGGAAACTTGTGGATACACCTGGCTTGACATATCCGCGCGTTCTTATCCTGGCTCAGCAAACGTGCAACGGATTAAGCCAGGATGCACTGATCAAACTAGGTCAAACCGCGATTGTTCAGTTATCCTGACTTTCTTAATTCTACTTTTGTGCAATACCCCTCTGGTGCCTTATCTGTTCAGTCAGCGGTCACGCCGATCAAAAACCAATGTGTTTTGTCAGTTATTCCGTTTTGTCATCTATGTGTTCAGCGCAATTTTTAGTAGCCTGCATTAAAATACCTCAGATACATATTGGCACTCATTCAAGTAGCCTACTATTATTATTGTAACATTATGATGGCAGCCTACCATTATTAACTATAATAATAATTATCCATATGGGCATTGTTACTGTTCAATTGTGTTTTTGAAGACTGCTGTTGTTCTAAGTTTGACAGATAGGTCTTTAATAGGCTATTGTATGTGATGAGGGAATTAGAGAAATGGCTGATTAAGAAGCAAAAGTTTTGTCAATCAAGTCAGGCAATACAAGTAGTTTTAAACACATGTTTCGTCCTTTACAATGGCATGCCCATTTTTGGATGACATCGTAGATGATGAAGCACTTATATTGAGAAGGCCTTTCAGACGCGAAAGAGTGTCTCGGGACAGGCCCGACCCATTGGCTTTTCCCGACAATTACCTGCAAGAGCGTTAGCCTACTGCTTTTCTGTGAATGGCATCCGCTACCTGTGCAGACTGTTGCCAGTCTGCAAAATGTTCTTATATTTGATCTTGACCTGTTGCCAGGTCCTCTTTGGTCCAGTCATGTTTGTTCTGTATAAATATTGATAGGATGTGTAACAAAAAAAAGAGTAACATAAATTAATCAGCTGTCAGATTCACACATGTTACAACATTGACTTCCACTGTTCATTTTTAAGCTTACAGTTGTTCATTTGAGCAAATGACAAGTAACTCCTTGAATGTATAATTATGACGTTTTCAGTAGCGCATTCAGTCGATCCGCTATTGTTTGCCATGCCCGTTCTCGCTCCTTGAGTATGATGTGCTTCAAGGGAGGACCCCTAAACCTCCAGTGTATGACTGAGACAACAACAGTTTGACCGAAAAATATCAAAATTGAAAATACTGTGGAAAGAAAGACACCTACATCTTGGATGCCCTTGGGAAAAGCTAAAACATATCAAAAATTAATTTCAAAGTGAATTATCCCTTTAAATCTGCTTTAATGGTTGACCTGATTTAGCCTGTCACCTGCGTTGAACCAGTTGTAGAGTAAAACGTTAGCGTTCTTGTAGTCCATCTGCTCTCCTCTCTCTCGTTTTCTCACTCCTCTCCTGTACCTACTTTCTGTGGTTGCTCCGACGTTCATAATATTTAGTTTAAGTTGGCTATTTTTCATTTATTTCTATCTGCTCTTTGAAATATTTACCATTGCCCATTAATTCAGCAGTTGTAAGAAAGTTATTAAACTGATGGACACATGTTAATGATGATTCTATTGTGTATCATGGGTTTGTCAAGCCGGGTTTCACAATTCTTTTTGTCTGCATTGTACAGCTATATCATCGTTTTGGCTTTCTGCCGCGTGTGGAGTTCTTAAAATCATTAGATGTAAAATCATAAATGGGATATGACTATGAGTAGATAGTGTGATTTTTCAATGATGTAATTATGGTTTAATATCATGGAGTGTAGTAAAAATAAGTTACAGACTGACAGCTGTCTCATAACCTCTGCGGAGTGAACGTGTATCGGTATCCACAAACTGGTATTACGACACCTGCCGGGCCGGGGCTAGTAATTTAGCATGCTAATTTAGGTTATATCCCGGCAGCACTATAACTTGTCAGTTTTTTAATGACATCATTAAACTTATTTCTTCTCATTCTTTTGATGTGTGTAGCTCATTTTTTGGATATTTTTACCTCGATTATTCCATATGGCACCTTTAAAGCTACACTGTGTAACTCTTTTAGTTTATTCTTAGCTAAAAACACTTAGTTCTTTCAAAAATATGTCAAGTCAAGTCAAGTCAAGTCACATTTATTTATATAGCGCTTTTCACAATACAGATTGTATCAAAGCAGCTTCACAGTAGCTGCGTTTCCATTACCCTTCAATTTGCGCAAATTGAAATTGCGAAATGAAAATACGCTCAATGGAAACACGTCAATTTCGACAAAAACTCCCGTTTATCGCAAAAAAGTTTTTACGCTCGCATGAGGAGGTTTTTCAGGCAATTCGAAAAAGGATTTTTTCGCAAAACTGCAATGGAAACGGATTTTGCGCATTCACAGTCACCTAACTAGACAGAGTGTGTTTTAGGTCCGTGTCCGCAAATAATAATAATAATTATCATCATTACCCTATTATAACATTTATTAGGCTACATATGTAGAAGAGTACATATGTTATCCAAAAAAGGAACAAAGCAATTCGTCACATCTCATTAGTACTGGTTGTTGGACAGTAATAGGGCTAAGATTATCACAAATAAACACTCTATTTTGTCCAATATCCAAGAGTGTGTGCGGAGTTTGGAGCACGCACTGGATGGCAGACCAGAAAATAATAATACATTATTCGCAACTACTTTTATTTGCGTAATGTCACAATAACAACAAAACGTTGTGCTTTTGTAAAATAACATAAAACAATCAGGCGCGCTTTATGGTCTTCGTGAACTGGAGCGCGAGAACTGAACCAATAGCCTTTATAGACTAAAGCTTTAAATGTCCATTTTAAAAAGAACAAATTCGAATCGTAAACTAATACCTTCTGATTATGTAATCCGTATGAAAGGTGCAGTTCTCTCTAAAGGTGCATCCGGAGATTATGTTTTTAGCTCGTTATTTTTTCAGACGCATTTATAATAACTCACCTATTCAGCACTGCGGGAAAAATATCATAAATATCCAGGTTCTAATTTGGCCTTAGAAAACCAGTAAAATCTAAATTTTTTTCCCATATTAATTTGTGAATATTTTAAACGTTTTAAAGGGGGCAAAAAGTCATAAACAAATATATGAAAATTCATTGAGATGTATATAGCGCAGCTATTGGTGTGGTCAAACTAAAACGTTGGTGTTAAACTTTGTGTTTTAAAAATACAACAACCGTTAATTTTTCGTTTTGCAACGACCGTTTGGACATAATACGAGTTAGAGTTCTTTATTAAATTCATTTAAAAAAAAAAGAAACATTAATTACAGGAATAACCTCTCTAAACCTCAAAGAAATGCCATCAAGACATCGAAGCAGAAATAAGAGAGAAACAACTCCGTGTCTTTCCCTGCCATTAATGCTTGGATAACACACCACGTCTCCTTCCATTAATAATAATAATCTAGTGTGCATGGCTGTGAAATAGGTTATAAACCTACCAAAGTCCGTTGCCATGATTTTTAGAATGACTTATCGCGAGAGGGAAAAAAGACGTTTTAGTCGCAAAACATCAGTTAATGGAAACACCGTCATTTCGCAATAGTTTTTTTATTGACATTTGGAAAATATCGCAAAAGTTTTGCGCAAATCTGTAATGGAAACGCGCCTAGTGATGACATGAAAGTAGTACAACACAGATCAATAATATTGTTAAATATTAAATATCCCCAACTAAGCAAGCCAAAAGCAAGGCGACAGTGGCAAGGAACCAAAACTCCATCAGATTGGATGGAGAAAAAAACCTTGGGAGAACCCAGGCTCAGTCGGGGGCCAGTTCTCCTCTGGCTTACATTCATATTGTTTATATATAAATATTAAATATAAATATTGTTTATATATAAAACGGCGCCATAACATATCGCCGGCGTTGAGTCTTCTCTTCACAGGCGTTGGTCTTCTCATCACAGGCGTTGGGGCATCTGAAATCCCCGTGAGAGGCTGGATACAAAACTGGACCTGACGAACGCCATTGATAACAGCAGAAGGAGATGGGAAATAATTAGCTTAACTGATGTTTATAATGATTTCCATTAAATGGGAGTCGTGTTAGAAAACCACTATCTCACAAACTCTCCGCAACCCAACCATACGCGCCGACCCGTTTGTCTAAAAGGCTGTCGAGCCCCACTGGTGCGTTAAGCAGTTGCAGTGGCAAACGGTTCCGTGTGGCATAACATACATTTAAGAGCGTAACATTTAGCACAAGTACTTTAAATGAATTAAACCTGTGACCTATTTTCTGAGTAATATTAAAAATATCTTTATAGATTGTTGCAACACCGCCGCCACGACCAGTCAGACGAGGCTCGTGTTTATAATAGTATCCTGGCGGAGTAGATTCATTTAGACCGAAATACTCATTTGGTTTAAGCCAGGTTTCAGTAAGGCACAGAACATCGAAATTATTATCTGTGACCATTTCATTTACAATAACCGCCTTAGGTTTGAGCGATCTAATGTTTAGAAGACCTAGCTTTAGAAATTGTTTTTGTTCACTGATATTTAGATTTTCTGGTTTAATTACAATAAGATTTTTGCTAGATCCTACACTAGATTTATAGTTTGGCTTCACTAAACGAGGAATAGACACAGTTTCTATATAATGTTCCACACTATGCATATTAGTTAAGTTTGGACAACAAAGGCTGTGATTTGGACTTTGACTTACTAGTCATCTGGTGCGTAACGTCTTGGAGATGTTGTCCGACAGAACAGCCGCTCCGATTCTGCTGGGGTGGAGTCCATCTGCACGATACAGCCTGGGTCTCTCCCAAAACAGATGCCAATTATTTACAAAGAGCAGTTTCTGTTCATTACACAATAACATTAACCATTCATTTAATGCAAATAGTCTACAGAACCTTTCCTGTCCTTGTCGGTACGTGGGAAGCGGTCCAGACACGATGATCGTTGCAGTAGGCGCTTGTGCTGCGTACCATCTCGATCAGGCTTCTTCAGAACCTCCGTCTGCCGCAGCCTAATGTCGTTGGCTCCCGCGTGCAGCACAACAGCTTCGACGCGCTCGTCCCCGCGCTCGTCCCCAAAGTGTGTGCGGTTTAGTTTTCTTAAGTACCGCGACCGGGTTATTGCTAATATCCTGGTTTTGAACGGGTTATTTTCTGCATGTAAACTTAGGCATTGATCATTATCTTCCTGTTATCAAGGTAAAAAGGCTTTGAAACAATCTGAATTGTATAAAGCGCTATATAAATAAAGGTGACTTGACTTACCAAAGCAAATGTGGCTGTCATGACATGACTTAACTTACCTTTCCAGTCTTCAGTCTCTCATGTTCTTACTCAGATGTGGACAGGCTCTGATCTCTCTGGTGAAGCGGCTCACGTGAGTGGCTTGAGTTTCCTGTCAGGATGATATCCATCCAATCCTGCATTTAAACCAGTGTTCTTTATAGACTGGATGGTGTGTCCAACCCTGGAGAAGAAAACCAAAACAATTATTCGCGCTGACAGTTTATTACATTCCAGTCGTTGGGCTGGACTTCAGTAAGCCAAAAATGTTATATCATATCCAATACAAAGATCATATGAACAACATGGATGTCTCTTTTCTGTTTATTACTGTGAAGCTGCTTTGAAACAATCTCTATTGTATAAAGCTCTATATAAATGAAAGTGACTTGACTATAACGAGAACATTAAAATGAACTCAATTCACTAAACATATTTGAAAATCTCACTACAAAACAAATCCAGAAATGAAGATAAACGACATCACAAATGTTGTATGCTACTCTGTTACACTTCTTCACACCTGAAATCTCTGATCGAATGAATCTCCTGAACTTCTCCATTCTACAGTAGATCATTTCTAAACCATCTATGTTGTAAGATCTGCTCTAACGTCGGGCGTTTAGTTGGATCCAGGGTTAGGCACTGGATAATCAGATCCCTGCATTCTGTACACATTTTAATAAGGATAGAGCCGGTTAGTCATGACCATGTGACACTAATGTAGGCATTTATGAAAACAGCATCTCTGAAACATGAAAAATTTAATTAAAAAAAAGTGTTTCCTTAAAAGATGAAGTATGTATTTTCTGCTGGACTAGTGGCACCTTGGGAAATTACAAAAAATAAAGCATATTTCAAACAATCTTGCAAACGTCTCTTTCGCTCAAACATCACAAACACAGCTCTTACTGGTCCATGTGAAGATATGTTTCAGGTCCAACATATTAGGAATACGTTTAGCTGTGTTGCATGTGTCTTTATGAACGGGTGCATGATGATGCTGTATGGTATTAATAAATGCGGTGAATTTTTCCTACGATCCCACTGTGACTAAACACCCTCAGGCTCCGCCTGCTACAATAGCCACACCCCCAAACACTATAGGTTGAGCTGGAAAAAGATTGATGGCTCTCAATGATAAGATGGAGCCTTTTTACACTTTTGGGGGAGATAAACCCACAAATGGCATACTAATAGTAATTGATGAACAAAAAAAAACGTACATCATACTTCACATACTTCACCTTTAACTGTTTCTTAACTGTACAGAGCCTTTGCTTTGGGTGTTTATCAATGTTATCAATATTATTCACTCACCGTTGGATAATTTGGCATTCTGAAATCTAACTTTGGCTTTTGTGATTTCCTTTGGATTCTGAAAAGGAGGACATGTGTTCACCATCTCGTACAACAACACTCCTAGAGCCCAAACATTTACTGGGACGGGGTGAAACCAAGGCTCTGTGAGGACTTCAGGTGGGAAGTAAAACTTTACTCCTGTAAGGTAAGCAAGACATTTGTGCATTGTTGAGAAAAAAAATTTTAAGTGTCAAAGAATCAGCAAGTCATTACATCTAGGTTTCCAAACTTCCAAAATGCTCACCAATGTAAACGTCGCTGTCATACCCATCACTATTAAGTATCTGTCCAGAGCCAAAGTCGATCAGCTTGAGCTCTAAAGTGTCTTTCTTCACCAGGAAATTGTCCGCATGAATATCATTGTAAAAGACATTATGCTCAATGCAGTGTTGCACTGCCTGCACAGCCTGTCGCATGATGAGCCGTGCTGTTGATTCGTCCAGTTGAGGATTATCATAGATGAAGTCCAGCAAGCTCTCGCAGGGTTCGGGATACTCCATCACCAGGGTGAATTTTCGAGGGTGCTCAAACCAATCGTGTAGTTGTATGGCGTACGGGCTTACGGGTTCTTCCCTCATCATTAGCAGCACAGCCACTTCTGCAATGAGAGGTTTGGGATGCCCAGGCTGGAGAAAAGACAGAAGGTTAGCTGGGTAAAAATCTGAAGAAAACATCATTTTTCTTTGATTTTGGTAGACAAGATCAACAGTGGCTTTGCAGGCTTATTCGTCTACTACATTTACACCTAATGTTTCCTACAGGTGTATTAACTACAGTAATCAACACTTCAACAACTAAATACACATTCAGCTTTTGGCCAACTTACAATAGCGAGATAAAGATCCTCAGAAGTCTTGCGCATCCGCTTGATAGCAACCTGCAAAAATGAAAAAAGAAACAGAATTCAATAAGAGTAACAACATTCAAGCGCCTGACCTTGCACATAACATTTATGATTTGAGCATCTAAGTATAAAACCCTGTGTATTAAATATGTTTTGATGCATGCAAGAGCAAAATGTTTATATAATTCAGCAAAAACCTTTTTGTCATCAAATTTCCGTGTTCCTTTGAACACTCTTCCGTATCCTCCGCATCCAATCATCTCTCCCGCGTTATAGAGAAACTTAAAGGAGTCTGAAAAACAAACAGAAAATAAGAGAAATATATGAGCTTGCTAGATCCTTTGTTTTATATTAAAAATATCAGTGCTGGTCGAAAAAATAATATGAATATTCTGAAAACAAGCCTCAAGATATCTTTAGTGGAAAACAAGACGATAATACGGTTTAAAACAACGTTTGAGAAACAAGGACTGCAGATTTACCATGATTTGGCTCGACACCGGACTGACGTGAATCAGAATCAGGCTCCGAGAGCAGATCTAGTGGAGGAACGAAAGGCTCCACAACATCCACAGCTTTACTGTCAGAACAGCAGCCGGACGGACTCTTTACAGCCGTCCACACGTTCCTGAGGAACGAACGAATTCTTTTCATCTTCTTTCCTTTTGTTCGTTTTTCTGGAACAAAGGGGAAAAAATTAAGTATAAAAAAAAAACATTATAAACATCTCTGACCTCACATTTAAAAATGATATAATGATAGAACTTCCATTTAACTGTTCAATTTTATCTTTAATGTCACAAATCCAAAATAATGCAAATATTTCCAAGCTATCCGCCTGACGACGCCATGTTTCTGCTCAATACCTGCACAAATGTCCCTTAGGGGTGACCAAAAGTTTCTTTCACAATATTATGTAATAATAGTTTTTTTTTTATATATATATATATATATCTTTTATTAAAAATAGACCATTCATTTCCAGGCATTATTATTTGGCACAGTTCTGGCAATGGTAAAGGTCATATGAGCCATCATGTCTTAAAATATATTTCACATTTATTTCTTATTAAATATAATAGCCTATATTTAAATCAACATTGATTTATATTAAAGACATAACTTAACCAACTCTGTTTACATGAACACTGGTCACAACAGCCATTTGGACAATTTTGTCAGTATTTGACCATTCAAACGCAATACGTTGTGAAACAGAACTCTGTTTGGGTTTGTGCGTGTGTCTTCGTATGTGTGTGTGTGTCAGCTGAGTGAGTTCATGGCTTGTTGGCTTAACAAAAATATATTCTAAGAACGTTTTGTCCAACTAAAATATTTCAGAAAAAATTGCTGAGAAACTGTGTGTATTCATCATTCTGCCTTATTTAAATCTCACCTGTCGAGCTGTTGTTCACAGGTGAAGCCTCCATGGCACCATGAGCATTCGGGACATTAGAAGTGTCGGTTGGCTCGATGGAAACTTGACTAGGCGGTGGAGGACAGATCCCCTCTTGGAAGCTGTCGGATCTGGACAAACTCCTGTTGAGGCTGTCGGAACTGGACACACTACTATTGAGGCTGTCGGAACTGGACACACTACTGTTGAGGCTGTCGGAGTGATCTGGATCAGAATCAGGCTCCGAGTCCAGATCTAGTGGAGGAACGAAAGGCTCCACAACATCCACAGCTTTACTGTCAGAACAGCAGCCGGACGGACTCTTTACAGCCGTCCACACGTTCCTGAGGAACGAACGAATTCTTTTCATCTTCTTTCCTTTTGTACGTTTTTCTGGAACAAAGGGGAAAAAATTAAGTATAAAAAAAAAACATTATAAACATCTCTGACCTCACATTTAAAAATGATATAATGATAGAACTTCCATTTAACTGTTCAATTTTATCTTTAATGTCACAAATCCAAAATAATGCAAATATTTCCAAGCTATCCGCCTCACAACGCCATGTTTCTGCTCAATACAAATGTCCCTTAGGGGTGACCAAAAGTTTCTTTCACAATATTATGTAATAATAGTTGTTGTTGTTTTTTTATATATATAATTTTTTATTAAAAATAGACCATTCATTTCCAGGCATTATTATTTGGCACAGTTCTGGCAATGGTAAAGGTCATATGAGCCATCATGTCTTAAAATATATTTCACATTTATTTCTTATTAAATATAATAGCCTATATTTAAATCAACATTGATTTATATTAAAGACATAACTTAACCAACTCTGTTTACATGAACACTGGTCACAACAGCCATTTGGACAATTTTGTCAGTATTTGACCATTCAAACGCAATACGTTGTGAAACAGAACTCTTTTTGGGATTGTGCGTGTGTCTTCGTGTGTGTGTGTGTGTCAGCTGAGTGAGTTCATGGCTTGTTGGCTTAACAAAAATATATTCTAAGAACGTTTTGTCCAACTAAAATATTTCAGAAAAAAATTGCTGAGAAACTGTGTGTATTCATCATTCTGCCTTATTTCAATCTCACCTGTCGAACCAGGTGAAGCCTCCACGGCACCATGAGCAGTCGGGACATTAGAAATGTCGTTTGGCTCGACGGGAACTTGACCAGGCAGTGGAGGACACATCCACTGGAAGCTGTCGCATCTGGACAAACTCCTGTTTCCGTCACTGCCTGGTTCATGTTGGCTCTCAGATCTGTTGTTACTGCTCCTGGAAACAACTCTCCTGCATCTGAAGCGGCCTGATGGAATAATTCAGACATTTTTAATAATATTAATAATCAATTGTCAGTGGTCACACACACAAAAAATCAACTTTCTATTTTCAATGACAAATCATTTATTCACTTTAATAAAAGCCTATACTAACCTATGCGATAGTGTTTGGATGAAGTGGACGGACGTCCATCATCTGACCTCTGCATCTCTCTCTTCCTGTGAGCCGAACCTGTGGCCACAGAAACGAACTCACAAGACCGAGGTGTTGAACATCCAGGAATAAGCTCCTGACTCTGTGCCTGGGTCGGGCCTGACATCTTCTTCAAACTGCAATTAAATGATACAAGTACCATACAATACAACACAACACAACACACAACGCAGAAAATATTCAGCAACTGTCTGAATTCGCCTCGTCTTTCAGTCAACAAAGAGAGCGATCTAACGTTTGACTGTGACGTCAACCGCATTATTCAAAATACCTGAAGTAGTGCGAGTCACGCGTGAGCGCACATCGAATCTGCAAACAAACTGAATCAGGAATACAGGACTGAATGTTATCGTTAAACAACCATTTAACAAGTGATATAATTATGTGCCATTACTACTTAGCTAAAACTAATATGTTAAAGCCTTTTTTACAGTCTATAGTTAAAGCATGAAATAAGGTTGACCACCAGAGGAATAGCAAATACTTAAAGATCACAGTTAAAAGAAAATCGTTAATAACTTGTAATCAGCCTATAAATTCATTATAGTTTCATAAAGTTGAATAAAGTGCAATAATGAGTTTGAAAAAACTTACAGACCATACTTTTTTAAATTTAAAGATCTTGACAACATATCCTTATTATCTGCCAAGTTGCAGACATGACAGAAACAATTAAAGAAGAGGCACTATATTAATTTGTCTATTTAGCACATATATTAATACTAGGCTACCATAAACACATATTTTATTTGAAAAGAGACATGTCTATTGTATAACTAATATCATCAACACAAGCGATTGTGCTTGATCCCCGACGATCGCCTCAAGTTAAACTGCATTGTTTCATTTACCTGCTTCTGTCATGGCATTGCCCACAACGCTTAACGTTACGTGATAGGGCTTTGAAACAGCAAACAGGTAAAACAATAAAAAGCATGACTTACATCACATCCAGCTAGCCAACTCCCAAGCTCCATCATCCTTATTTTGTCTTCGTTTGAACGCCCTGAGAAAGGATTTTTGTAAAGATAAAACCGATTTTAAATTAATCTTGAAAGAGAAATTGCGCTTCTTTACCAGTGGCGTCATGCCCATTCAAAGTGAGGGGGCACGTGCCCCCTCAGATTTTTCCTCCCTGATAATTTTTTTTAAATTCTTTTAAAATGTATTTTAATTTTTTCCCTGATTCCTTTATTCCTATCATGCTCCATAATTACCAGAGCCTATAACGACTGAAATATATTCTTTTTCTTGATGTGTAATAATAAATCGGTCAGCATTAGCCCGCCCGTTTTTCCTAATATGGTGTCTGTGTATCAAATCTACGCGCGTAGAGCTTTACGCTTTAGAATCTTTGCTGTGTATGTTCCGGCGGTACAAGCAGCTCGCACGTTGAACTGGCAATGTTTTACGAGTGGTAAGTTGGAAATGGAACAAATCGGCATTGAATTAGTAATCGGATGATATTAAAAGGTAGTGGGGATTATTTATGGTTGACCTGGACATTTTAACTTGATCAAAAGTTATGGAATTGATATTAGCTGCGTATTCAGAGCATTAACAATGTTATGCAGTGTTATCAGCTAGCCTAGTCTAACCGTAAACTATTGGCTAACGTTACTGCCTGCCATACAAAACTCTTGCAACTTGCTCTCTCCCACCCTCGCACATATTATTAATCAAAATAAATCGACACGGTGGTAAAAGGTCAGAAGATGAAAGTTTAATGTGGAGCATTCTGTGTTTCCCCCCCTTATTTACCGCTGGGTGTGAATTGTGCTAAATAAGTTGCCTTATCTTCTCTGAGAAGCGTTCTGGACATTCAGCTGACATAAACATGACATCCATGTCCTAACAGCTAGGATAATCACACAACGCGCATAACACGTCCAATTCGCGAACTAATGACTCCTTTGAACCGATTCATTTTAATGAATGGTTAAAACAACTGATCTTTCCAACAGTGAACTCGGGAGACGTCTGAATCGGTGTATAACTAATCAGTAACACTTTACAATAATGTTCTATTTATTACTTGAATTACATAAAAAGTACAGTTTGCTTAGGCTACTCAAGCTTAAGATTTAAAAAATAAAAAAAAAGCACATGACTACATTTTTCCACACAATGCTATCAAGAATCAATAAGAGAATCGTTAAAGAATCTGATTCTGGTTCTAAAGAACCGGATCGATAAACAGAACGTCATTGCCATTATTATTGTTAAAATCTTATCAATTCCATCCATATGGTAAGACAGTAAAATTATAATCTAATGTTAAAGAACATACATGTTTTTTAATAGTTTTTTTGAGAGTTAAAAGATTATAACATTTCGCTAACATGAGGTCTGTCACTGTCAGTCTTTTTACATCAGTGCAAAACTAGGGTACGCAGATTAAGACCACTATTCATCAGCATGCACTGATTTATCCCATGGCATGTAGAAAAGAAAAAAAAGGTGCGACAAAATCATATGCTCAAATAAACAGGGTAGTGTTAACCTTATTCAGCACTGAAATCTGTCAAACTTCTTTCAAAGTCCTTCATCACATATTGATATTAAAATAACTTAATTTCAGAGAACCACAAAGTCAGACCTTAGCCCCTTTATATACCTTTAATGTAAGATCGTTCTTAGGTCACATACCTATTTAAAATCATAACATAAAAACTGCAATGGTACTGTTTTTAAAAACATGTGTAGAAGGCCTAAGTGTACAGTAAGTGTGTCTGTAAATATGCTTTAATGAAGTAGACTTTAAAAGCTTTTGAATTTGAGCTTACAGTTCTTTCATCAACCTGTCTTTTACATAAACTTACAAAAAAGATACTTTAACTTAGTCCTCAGATAGAGGAGGGTTGCTGCTAGCTCCGTTAAAGTATTTCTGTCCCTCCCAAACTGCATTGAAATGGTATGTTTAGGAGCCAGAATTTAAAAAAAATTTCAGGGGGAGAAACCCCCTGACCCCCCCTAACATGATCAACTCATCAGGAAACAATTGCAACGTCTCAGATTGTGCCCCCCCAGAATTTTGGCTTGCATGACGCCCCTGCATAGGCCCCAGAATATATTGACTTTATCATCTGAAATGTGCAGCAAAACACACATTTGAATGACAGAGCTTTCAATTTTGCTCTAAATAAATATGTTTATGCTTTGCTTTCATAATGCGTGTTGGGAACTAAAACTTTTTTTGTGCTGATAATATTTTGTACACGTTTCGTTTGATTTACCAGTATTTTACATTGTTTAAATATGAAACAAAATGTGTGACACACTGATGTGACTTTTCCTCTCAATGTAATTTCAACCTGGAGCAACTTAATTTTTTGGGAAAATTCATTAATCTGAAATCTACTGGCAATTTAAAATAAATAAATGAAAGAAAAAAAAGAGAATTGAATTTCCCACTCTGTTTTAATCTGACTGTCAGTACTAACCCCAGGAATGAGTGAATGAACATTTGCTTCACCTTCAGTAAGTGAAGCTCCCACAGTCCTGTGTTCTGGGGGTTGCAGTATTCAGGCACATCCAGCTCTGGGAGATACACACCACTGCCCTGCATTTCATTATCCAGCAGGATGTCACACTTAGGGAAGGTCTACACAAACACAAGAGACACACAATTCATACATTCAACTTAAGTCACAAGCGCAAAAGGCCTCAATTAGCTGAATTGAAGGCTCACATGCATCAGCGTCCTATTGGCTGCCAGGATTCCCACGCAGGAGTCGGGCAGCACATGCAGGCCGAGTGTGCTCAGTCTCTTCACAAAGGCCTGTGCCCTCAGCAGATTGACCTGCTTCCTGCGTTTGGTCAGCATCACGTCCAAACACTGCAGCACGATCGAGGTGTCATCGTTCGCACCTCCTGCAGACAATCCGAGACAACCGCTGTGTTTGTCAATTAAACTTGTGGAATATTGCATAGAACATCTGAGAATAAAGCAGCGTTTCCATTCCATGTGTTCAAGAGAGCAGAAACCTGGTGCAAAGTATCATAAATAAACAACGCTGGTCCTCCTTATATGCCACGTACACATGTTGTGTAGGGAGATCATTTAATGACTAGGGAAGTGATTAAAGGGATAGTTTACTCCAAAATTTTTTAAATCTGTCATTACTCACTAGAGCCTGACCGATAAAGCATTTTGAAGGCCGATACAAATATATTTGGGTTTTAAAATCCGATATTCCGATATATCGGCCGATATTTATATATATATATATATTTTTTTTTTTCAGAAACGCGCAACAAAACATTAACAGATTTCCCTAACATTAGTTATTTGTAGTTATTGATGTGGTTTAACTAAAATAATATGATAATGCATTTTAAAAAGAAACTTGTTTCTTTTATTGTTAGAACAGACTGATGATAGTGGCATCAGCTAGTCTATGATGAGTCATAATTTAGCAATGGATAACGTCATACTGCAAATTGTAAAACATACATTTTCAGTACAACAGGCCAAGGAGAGATGATGCGTCTCATTGCTATAACTGTCACGCGCTATTAAAGAAATACTTCAGTCACATTGTCAAGTTAAAAGGACAGTCAGTCAACTACACTGTAACAACGTAACGTTACTATTACTAGCTAATTTCGCTTCACTCTTGGCTTATTTAACAGCAGCAAAAATGGACATGATAGTCACAAATTTTGTCATGCCTATTTGAGTTTAGAGAACTGATGGGGATGTTCTTTTAATTGTTCAAACAATGTATCGTGACCAACTCAATGAGTGTTGCCAACAGGGACGGTGTAGAGTGCCCTCTGGTGGACAAACTATAGAACTCCAACACTCATGACATGGTTCAAGCGTGTTTCGTCCGTTTTTATTTTATTTCTTAAAATATTCATTTATCGGCCATTATAACCGCCGATACCGATAGTTTGGAAAATGCCTAGTATCAGCCAATAATATCAGCCTACCGATATATCGGTCTGGCTCTATTACTCACCCTCATGTCATTTCAAACCTGTAAGACTTTAGTTTATCTTTGGAACAAAAATGAAGAGTGTTCTGTGCCTACATTGACAGCTACACAATAAGCTCATGAACAGATTGTAAAACTAATCCATATGAATTGATCGGTTTAGTCCAGATTTTTGTAAGGATACACTATCACTTTATATAATGAACAGATTGAATTTAGGATGTTGTAAATACAGTCCTGCCGGACCAGATCAGGGGTAAAGGATACAGAAACGATCTTTTTCATAATGATTAGTCTAGTTATCCAATCATATGTTTCTTTGAGGCAAACTCATGAGAGTTTTTTGTAGCGAACCCATGAGTATATTAGATAACTGTGTTTCCAAATAAATCCACATCATCTGAAAACAGTCTCTCAAAACAAGGGATCAGAAATGCTAGTCAACTAGCTTGACTTTTTTTTGTTAAGTAAATAGTGTGTTCAATAATAATCTATCTAATGGATCTCTCAACAACAACAAAAAAAACAATTGTGCATTTACAAAATTAAAAATAAACATTTGATAGCGTGAGTGACAGGATTGTGTCTCACCTGCGTGCAGCGTCAGCAGGGTTTTGTATAAGTGGCTGTAGAATTTCAGAGGGTCGATGTTGAGGACGTCACCTGTTGGAAACAGAGACGTGTTTTAGCTCAGCGAGAGCAGGATGTTCCTGAAACAAGAGCTGAGGCTGAACTGACCTTGTCCTGAGAGGATGTGGAAGGATGTGAGAATGCAATGAAGGCTCTCACGATACGACAGATCCTGGGTGAAGGAAAACACAGAGACGTTAGTGCATTCAATTTTACCCAGATAAATCATGAAGCCGATGCTCCTGGTTGAAACACTTACACCCGAAGTGATGAGGCCGAAGAGCACCGCCAACAAATCATCAAAGAACTCCAAGTTTATAAGATGAGCAAACCTTCAGGAAACAGTTTGAACCATGTTATTCACATGTTAACAAAAACACAGGGAAACTGACCTGAACGCTTTATACAACGCTATAATAACACTTACTTCGCAAGACCTTCTAAAACGGAGGACAGTAAGATGGACTTCTGTGCTTTCTTCAGTATTCTGA